AGGATAGATTTGTTTCTATAAATGACCTTCATTATCTTAATCCAACTTAATGTTTATCATTTCGATAAATATATGTTGTAAATAGATATCATTTTCTTTATATTATAGCGACTTGTACGCCTATTTTATTTTATTTAATTTAACGTGTTTATGATAGTGATTGTAATGGGAACAACTGTAAAAATAATTTAGTTTATAAAACGATTTCTGTTTTGGTTTTATTCTACAAGCTAGATAATAATATTGCTGCTTGATGTAAAACAAGTAATGTTAATCAACATTTTGTAAAATATAACGTACTTTGATTTAATTCGACACAAACTTCAACGAAAGAAGAGAATTCAAAAAGAAAAGTCATGAATTAGTTACCACTAATTGCCTACATAAACTCTGCTACTATCAACCAACATTACTGTTTTCCCGCCAATATAGAAAAGATTGGATACCTTACCACCTAGCGGATTTCATAAACAATAGATCTCGTCAAGGCACCATATAATATGAAGAAACAACCCAAACTCTTGTCCTCAAACAGTTAGTTTCTCATCTAGAGGTTAGCACATTAAACGAGTGGTATCAGTACCATGTCCCTTTAAACCATTTTATTTTCCAACACAGCAAACCTCAAGGGGGCGAAAGGCAGCGCCTGGATAGCTTGTATCTTCGACCGAAACGTTGATGTATTATCTGCTCTGGTTACGAGTGAATGATGCCAAGAAAGTTGATCAACCTATTTATTCAAGTCTCCAAGGTAATGAGATGAAGTTTAATCTCGAAGTACTGCGTTATTCGCGAAACTACGAGAATAAGAGAAAAGAGGTACAGATTATCGTGATTGATTACACCTAGTCGTAGGCCTCGCGTATTTGTAAGGTTCCCTATACTTAGATAGAACTGTTTTATATTTCATTACTTTGTAAATATATATATGCACAAACTAAATGTTAGTCCCAAAGGTTTCAAACAGTTGTTAGCAAATATATAAAATTGCTGCTGCAGATAAAAACTCTACTAAAAATGTCCAAATTGGTTCAGTTTATATATACACATTTATATTAACTGTCTTCGTAATTACCTTCATTTCTAATCATTCGTAAGGCACTGTTGAATTAATATTGATGAATAACTACACAGTTTTATAAATTGTTTATATTGACTTCAAGGAAAGGATCATTCATATCGATGGTGGCGTCATCTATTATTCGTTAAATGAGTTATATTAGATGCATTATGTGTTGTTTTTTTAACTCGGTTAAAAACTTTTAAAATAAAATAAGATTCAACTTTTCTTTATTTGTTTACAAACTGTCACGCAAAGCTGACAGAAAAAAGAGAAAGCACCCATCGCCAACTTTTTGGGCTACATTCACCTGTCCGAATATTGGGATTTGAACATCAATCTTACTGCGTACCCACGATCCCAAAGTGCGGAGCGCGTTTTAGCGGCAATGGGCTCTGGGCTACGTCCGATCCCTGAAGTGAACTATACTATTGATTTACACATTCTTTTGCGTCAATATATTTGTTTACTGATTATTTTTACAAGATGTGAGTTGTCGGTTACTTCGTTTATTCTTTTCTCGAACCAATATGTAATTTAATTTTCAAAATAATAAGTCTTTGCGTTATTATATGTATAAATAATCAAATCCATTGGTATACATTTATGTAATTATTGGAGTAAGTTACAAACATGTTTTTAAACAGATTACATCAAAAGGAAAACTGGAGCAGCATATCCAAACCTTTGTAAAGAAGGAGAAGAATAAATATATATGTTTGATTTGTTTTGAATTTCTCGCAAAGCTACACGAGGGCTATCTGCGCTAGCCGTCCCTAATTTAGCCGTGTAAGACTAGAGGGAAGGCAGCTAGTCATCACCACCCACCGCCAACTCTTTTACCAACGAATAGTGGGATTGACCTTCACTTTATAACGCCCCCACTGCTGAAAGGGCGAGCAAGTTTAGTGGGACGGAAATATATTGGTGAAAAAATAGAGTTTAAACAATCAAAAACGCAGCCACGGTTAGTTTAAATATTTCTTTCCCCCCTCTATTTATATCATTTATTTTTTGTAATTCATTTAACTTTATATTTCATACTTAAGAGTTTACAGGGTTTGTAGAAAGTTTAAGTATTACCTTGTCAAGTAGTTAGATCTTTTAACGGTCCGGGCTGCGAATCGGAAGGTCCAAACATACTCCGTAATTTGCGTGAGTTAGCGAACTGGGCTGAGAATTGGAAATATCAAGATTCGAACCATGCTAAGAGACTGTACAAACTTCGAATTTTCAGCTGCTCATGTGTTATAACAGTGACAGTCAAAATTCGAATCGTGATATGTCGTTAAACATGCTCCGTACTTTCATAACTCTCGAGTAGCTTTTCTTGAAAATTCTAAAAAGACAAATAAGCGAAAATTTGCCCTATGTACACTATGTCCGCCGTGGATACTTTTACTAGAAATGTGTTTCTAATTATTAGTTTAATTAATAACAGTAGCACACCATGTAAACCACAATTATTTGTTATTGCAAAAAAAAAAACAATTTTTTTGTGATAATAAATGAGTGTAGATTAAATGTTGTGTTATTCTTATTAATGAAATACCACGAGACAAATCAATTATATTATTGGTTTATATTTTGTAAAAGGAAAGACTATCTATATGTATTAATTGTCTGTGTATTTTGGAAATACACATTTTTACTGTTTATTAGTTGATATCGGTCAATGTAATTTCTATACCATAATTAATTTCCACGTACATTCGTTTTTTTTTGTTTTTTTTGTATTTAATGATCATTTTAGCTAATGACCAAAATTAACTTTCTTTTTCTCCACTTTGTGTATGACGTCAGTATCACTGCGATGATGTTCACACCTTAATATTAGCGAAATAGCGTATAATTATATATAAAGATATTATCTATTCAGAATACATATATATTTGTTTATTTTTTTCTCAGATTTGTTTACTATTTTTGCTTGATGCGCAAACACACAAAAAAAGAAACAAAAAACATTTTTGACAATGAGATTAAAAACGCATCTCGTGAAACAATAGTCCGGTAGCTCAAATGTACGGTTTAAATAATAGTCCGGTAGTTCAAACATACGGTTTAAACAATAGTCCGGTAGTTCAAACATACGGTTTAAACAATAGTCCAGTAGCTCAAATGTACGGTTTAAATAATAGTCCGGTAGTTCAAACATACGGTTTAAACAATAGTCCAGTAGCTCAAATGTACGGTTTAAACAATAGTCCAGTAGCTCAAATGTACGGTTTAAACAATAGTTCAGTAGCTCAAATGTACGGTTTAAACAATAGTCCAGTAGCTCAAATGTACGGTTTAAACAATAGTGCAGTAGCTCAAATGTACGGTTTAAACAGTAGTACGGTAGTTCAAACATACGGTTTAAACAATAGTCCGGTAGTTCAAACATACGGTTTAAACAATAGTCCAGTAGCTCAAATATACGGTTTAAACAGTAGTCCAGGAGGTTAAATATACGGTTTAAACAGTAGTCCAGGAGTTTAAATATACGGTTTAAACAATAGTCCAGTAGTTTAAATATACAGTTTAAACAATAGTCCAGTAGTTTAAATACGTTTACAAAATAGCCAGGAGTTTAAATATACGGTTTAAACGGTAGTCCAGTAGCTTAAATACGTATAAACGATAGTCCAAGAGTTTAAATATACGGTTTAAACAGTAGTCCAGTAGTTTAAATATACGGTTTAAACAGTAGTCCAGTAGTTTAAATACGTTTAAACAATAGTTCGGTTGTTCAAACATACGGTTTAAACAGTCAACTTGACTCAGTAAAGAGTGTATTAATAATAATAACATTGAAAAATACATTCAGAAAAAAAAACATATTAACAGTAACAATGTTGAACAATACACTCAGTAAAGAGTGTATTAATAATAAAAACGCTGAACGATACATTCGGTAAAACATGTTAACAATAACAAAGTTGAACAATGCACTCAGTAAAGTGCGTATTTATAATAACGCTGGAAAATACATTCAGTAAAAAGCATATTAACAATAACAAAGTTGAACAATACACTCAGTAAAATGTGTATTAATAATAAAAACGCTGAACGATACATTCGGTAAAACATGTTAACAATAACAAAGTTGAACAATACACTCACTGTGTGTTTGTGTATTTTATAACAAAGCCACATTAGGCTATCTGCTGTGTCCCCCGAGGAGAATCAAACCGAGTTCCTTAAAATTATTCGTCCATGTTCTGTAATTAAATAAACAAACAATTGTTTTTCTGAACGAGATATGAACTTTTCTAAAATGTATTTGTTCTTATAACATTTGCCAGTTTTATAAAACATTAGTGTTAAGCCTATATTATGACCAGTAAAAATGAATTATGATCGTGCTTCACCAATTTGTTCAAGTCATTCACAACATAACAATTGTTGTTGTAACAATGAATATTTGTTCTGATCACTGCGATGTTTGTTGAGTCCCAGCAGACTTGATGAATTAGCGAAACGTCGTCGGTAATGGGTGCCGTATATATATATAATGTGGTTGTAATACATTTTTAGTACATTGAAACTCCCTAAGGAACTGGATAAAGAATGTAGTGTTAGAATATTATAGTCGTAATACTAATGTCTTAGGACATGTATGATTAATTATGATCATGTTTCGCCACCTTAAAAAAAGGCATTCACACCGAAACAATTATTTGATTTGTCTGTTAATTACCTTTTTTTTTTTTTCTGAAATCAAACGGCTGTATTATACAATAATTCAGTTAAGACCTCAGCGGCAATGAAAAACAAATCAAGAAGAATATGAAAAAACCAAAAACATTTGCAGTTAAATTGTTTTTTTATAAAAAAAAACAACTCTAAATCTATTTTTTCCGCTGGTTTTATTTTTTAAACCATAACACTGGTGCTGCTGTTCTACAACAATATATTCACGTGCTCCTTTACACTTTTACAGTGACGTCCACGTTATCGAATGTTTAAATTTGTTTTACGTTAAGTTTACGTTGTTGTTAAATGCATGATGTAAGTTTAGTACCAATAATGAACTTAAGTTGTTTTTATCTTGTTTTTTGTGTGTCGTGAAGGCATCAAACATACAAATTTGTTTTTGCTGTAAAAAAACTATTATTGTTAGGCTTTTCCTTTAGACGTTAAACTGCAAATTTTAACGGCTATTTAGTTAGTTCTTCTTCAAGTTTAACAGTTCTTGTAGTTGTACTAGTAGCATACAAAAATCAACTCATAAAATATGACAAATAGAACTAGTAAATGGCTATAAATTATTATACACCCTTTAAAGAATAATATAAGATTTATAATCATATAATATTCACAATCAGAATTCTAACACCACAGCATTAAGTTTTTAAAAATGGCGCCTTCGCTGAGTATCGGGAAGGTGCAGACTATGCAATTGGTAAGTTACTTTATTGTACTAGTATTAGTAGTAATAATATTAATACAACTTACTTAAATTAGTAACAAAAATAACATTACTTAAGAAATAACATTGTAGTTCACGTTATTGTGTTTGTGGATCCGTTGCTGCTAATAAATTTCATATAATTTTACTTTAATTTACGGAAAGACTTAGAGTTTTACTATAAAGTAAAGTCTTAAATGTAATCTGTTGTGTTTTATACAATTGAAAGGATATCTTATACTATAGAAAAGAACACAATAAACCTACAAGGGTACATGAGATGATGAAAAAACGATTTAAATAACATCTGGAGGAAAAGAAACATTAAAAGGAAAGAAAAAAAAAGACACACACGTATTGAGAAGTTAGATAAAATATAGGTTAGATTTACAGTGTTTATACTCCTTAACCATGTACAAATACATTTCTAATAACATTGGTAAATTTACTGAAAATTCAGATGAATAAAAAAATAACATTGTACCATAATCAGCCTGTGCAACAGAATATGGGTGCCCAAAATTAAGCAGGCAAAAATTTAAAAAATAAAGCTAGATATTGTCAAATATCTAAAAAGGTAAAAAGAAAACCAGTCAGGGGTTCAGCATGATTTATTTCACTTATTAATTTTCATCTGTTAACTCTATGTAAATAGGCAAAGATCTTTAGAAATTACAGTTCATAAAAGAGGTTTTTTAACCCTTAATCAAGAGCTTTTTCTGTCTAGAAAGTTTTATGCAAGAGTAGAAGGCCTACAAGAATGAGCAAAAAAATGGGCTACCTTGTGAGAAAAACTTGTACATGTTTTAAGGGACAGGACAAAAGCTACACATGAAGATGAAGACATGGAATATGGTGGTGAAAGGATGATGTAAAAAGGGAACTTCAAGATTGAAGAGATAGAATCTTCAGGACCACTATGAGACAAAGAAGTGGAAACTGTAATTGAGCTGCCCGAAGAGGGGCAATGAGAAGAACCTGGCAAAGGGTGTTGTGAATTAGACATCACCCTGGAAAGAAGTCAAAGAGAAGGATAGGCATACAGAAAGGAGGTTAACCAGTTCAGACTTGGAGATAATGCTGCCAGAGCTATGGAGTCTGGAACTAATGACCATGCTTTGTATGGAGTGTAGTCACAAATGAGAAGACTCTGAAAGTGGGAAAAAATCCACAGAAACACCAGGAGATATTAGGACCACTTTGTGTGAGACAGCTGATCTCCCACTAAATTCAAAGGTCCCAGAACATGTAAGACCAACAACTGTATGTTGTTGTAATGAGCCCAATAGAGGAGCTCAAGAACAAGAAAGCAGATATCCTGAGAGTGAGTACCTCTCAGCTGGTTGATGTAAGAAATGACAATGTTGTCCAGACAGCTGTAACAAAAGATGGTGGCAGGTCCCTTGATCTGCCCACATTTCCAAAACATTGATATGGCAAGACTGCTCTACAACAGACCACATATACTGTAATTGGTGTAGTATCCAGAACTGTACCCCACTCAGCTAGAGGGGTCACCTGTGGACAGATGTAAGCTTGTGTGAGGTGGAGTAAGACAGTGAGAGGTAAAGAGATGGAAGCAGAGAAACAAGAAGACTGTGGATCACAAAGCATATTCCACTGATCTGTCAGAATCCATTGCAAGTAACACAAAAGGACATGTCCAGAGGAAGAAGGAACACATGAAAGTTAAGAGTCCCTGAAAGAAATAAAACCTCACATGTAGGAAGAAAAGGAGGAGATATGGGAACCTCCGAAAACAGAGCTTCATATCTTGGAAATGTAAAGAGAATTATCACAGATGATGCCTTCCAGGAAAGGGCTATAAATGCTAAATGTCTATATAGTGGTGGAAATTTGGAGGATATCACAGATGATGCCTTCCAGGAAAGGGCTATAAATGCTAAATGTCTATATAGTGATGGAAATTTGGAGGATATCACAGATGATGCCTCCCAGGAATGGGCTATAGATGCCAAATGTCTATATAGTGGTAGAAATCAGGAGGATATCACACATGATGCCTCCCAGGAATGGGCTATAGATGCCAAATGTCTATATAGTAGTGGAAATCAGGAGGATATCACACATGATGCCTCCCAGGAATGGGCTAGTAGATGTCAAATGTCTATATAGTAGTGGAAATCAGGAGGATATCACACATGATGCCTCCCAGGAATGGGCTATAGATGCCAAATGTCTATATAGTGGTGGAAGTCAGGAGGATATCACACATGATGCCTCCCAGGAAAGGATTATAGATGCTAAATGTCTATATAGTGGTGGAAATCAGGAGGATATCACACATGATGCCTCCCAGGAATGGGCTATAGATGCCAAATGTCTATATAGTGGTGGAAGTCAGGAGGATATCACAGATGATGCCTCCCAGGAATGGGCTATAGATGCCAAATGTCTATATAGTGGTGGAAGTCAGAAGGATATCACAC